TCTCATTATGTTTTTCAGGCTGGTCTCAAACTGCTGAGCACAAGCAATCCTCCTGTCTTAGCCTCTCAAAGTTTTAGGATTACAGTCATAAGCCACCAGCGAGAACCGTGTTGAAAAATAGCTGTCCTTGGGTATTCTAGAGTTGTATTGGGCTGTTTGCCTTTACATTAAATGGCCTCTAGACTGCTGGACTGTTGTGTTTTATGATACTTTGGTCACATTTAATTTTTCTTGATATGTTTGCTTTTAGCATATTCTTTGCCTCATTTTTAATCGGTTGGTAACCAAGATTGTAAAACTAGAACTTTTCTTTGAATCAATTGATAACCAAGTTTGTAACCTGATATTTATTTTACATACAAGTTTTGATTAGTAAACTCTGGGTGAAGGCTGAAGGTGTCTCCATGTTTCTTTTAAAGGTGATATTCTCAGCTGTTTCTCTTGAAGTTAGAGCCCTAGTAGCTTTGAGACTGTGCATGTACAGTGAAGTCACTGAAAGATTAACCTGCAAGTAAAGTGAGACAGTAATGTACTAGGTAAACATTTAGTATTTTTATGTGCCTTATGTATCCTATTTCAGTCATGTAAATAAAGTTAAGAATCAGTGAAAAGTAAACAGGGAGTAATAAAAGTCTATTAGTACTAGCTTAGAAATATAGTGGATACTGAAATTAACACAAAATACTTATCGTTGAAAAATGGGTAGTTGTCAAAATAATACATGTGTGAAATGGCTGGAACGGTTTTGTTCTATTCTGTGGCTAAAATATTTTCTTCACTAACTTTTTGAACATGCTGAATTTGTGGATAATATATTTTTGCTGCAATGTTTTAGATTGTTGTCATGGTTTATTTAGTACACGTGTCATGAGAATTTAGAACAATACTTGTCTATGATCTGTAATAAAGGATCAGTTTTTCCCCCTCCCTCACATATATCACATGTTGCAGACCAACACCGCATGTGACTTCAAACACAGGTTTAGTAATATCCAAACTATGCCCTGTGTGAGGCCAGTTTCATTGATCATGCACACAGATGTTATAGCAATCTAAATTGTTCTAAAGTTTCTAAATCCTTCCTCTTAATTTGTTTACTTGTCTTTTCGTGGGCCAGTTCCGAAAGCTCATGGACCAGCACTGGTCCCTAGGCCTTATTTTGAATATTACTGACCCAGAGCGTTTTCTTTACTATGAACGGATTGATCCAGTCCTGTAGCTGCCTTGCCAATTCCTGACCTGTTCCATTGTTATTTGACAGCCAGCAGGAAGTTTGAGAAACCACTATATGGGATCATGAACATCCATCACAGAGTTGTTTTATGTGGTCCTAAGGCACATGAGTAGGATGACATGTAGCCCATACTACTCACTTCTGTTATCATCCCAGCTCCTTTTGATACACAACCCTTAGGTATTTGTCCTTTTACTGCCACTGTCACCTGTCAGACACTCTTCTAAGCCTCTAGTATGTGGAAGAGTGGCAAAATAAGAAGTGTCAGTATAGTAGACTGTGATGGACTACGCTATTACTTACAACACCCTTGCAGATAGTATTTTCACTATTATAGTGAAAACACCAATAAAGTGTGAGTCTCAGACAAGTTAGGGGGTGGTATGATTTGATATTAGAGATGTCACT